ATCTTGCTATAAAGTTTTTATTGACGTATTAGAATGTTGTTACAACTTGCTATATTGGTTGTTACAACTTCCTTAGAAGTGTTAAAACTCGGTTGAATGTTGTAGCAACGTCGTAGTTTCATCGTGTGTTTGACGGGAGGTGCCCATTTATTCCTTTGATTAATATATACTAGTATTTCCTCCCTTTGGGCAAATGTGCTCCCCCCTCCCCCCACCCAAGCTCAGGTATTTCAGTATGTGCGATATTAGACCTTTTTTTTTTATATATATATATGTGTATACTCTTGGAGTAATAATTGTAGGCTCTTGGTTATGAGGAGGAGTTGGCCCAGGTAGAACTAATCACTGATGGTTTACTCTAATGATTTAGGAAGGGAGAGAAAACATGTATAGTACTTTGAAGTTGGTGATTTGGTGGTGTGAATGTGATAATTAAATGGGTAATAGAGGATAAGTGCATGCTTGCATGTTAATGTGCATAATTAAATGAGTACAGGAAAATGTATATATTCTGTTTTATAATTAATTACCATGTATACAATTATCCCTCGCTATGTACAAGGGATGCATTCTGGGAAGTTTCTTGAGCAAATTTGTGCAAAAAAAAAAAAAATGAAAATAAAGGTCATGTAAAAAATAAGGGGGGTCTCAAGAATGTGCCCCAAGTCCACTGTTCCACTCATTAGAAACATCCATCAGAACATTACAGCACCTGTATTACAAAGTTATCCTTCCACTCCAATGCCACAAATAAACTGTATATTATAAAGTTACTTTGTAAACTCATCAATTACATAAATGAGAGTAAACCTTACATTACCTTTTGTTGCTGTGGGCATCTTGCATGCAGTATATATTGCATGTGTTACAAAATGCCAAGGTGTCACAGTATACTCCAAAAAGTTGAGCAAACACTGTACAAGAAAGTATTCTCTCGCTTGCATTTGGCAAACTTACGTTGCTTCTAGTGAATATTTACATTAGTGCCTTCTGTGTACAGTGAATTTTACCCATCCTGTACCAAACTCTCACATCGTAAGGTCTGACTGTACTGTTTATGTATATGTATAAAGGTGGGATATATATATGAGAGTGCAACACTTGTTGTGCAATGCCTTGGAATATGTTTGTGTTGGAAAACAAAATTATTTTGCAGACTTGGTCTGTTAATTTTTGTCTTTACAAAGTTCATATATATTATTTAAGATGTAGCTTCAGATATTAGGAAGGCGAATGCCATATATGATAGTAGAGAGAATATATTTTGTAAGTTTTGGTTAAATCTTTGACTTGAGAGGAAAAGTTCACTAACCACCAATTAGAAACAAAAAGACCAATAGTAGTGGTATGAGAATTGAGTTAGTCAATAAGGTATCAATACAATGTGTTGGCAGAAAGAGTGAAATTTTGTTGATTATGGAAATTGGTAGAATGTTGAGCTTATATATTTTGTAGTGAAAAATACACAATTAATAATAAGTGAGTCAGTGTCACTAGAGCATTCATGTTTACAAAAATGCTTAAGTACTCAACAATTACAAAAGTGCAACAATAATTATGCAAAGTGAATGGGGGCTTTAAAATGATTTTAAATGATGACTGATTAAATTTGATAACCTGAAGATAACTGGAAATACTTTTTCTGGGGGAGCCCCTGGTGACACCGAGGCTATCTTGCTGACATTTCTCCATGCAAATGGCTCGCTTCAGACTCAGAAGTTCATTTTGGCCTAAAGGTAGACTAGAACAAAAACCTAGCCTCCTCAGAGCTGCAAAGCAAGTGACAATTTGCTCCTATACTTGGAAATTCATCCAGAAAGTTAGAGAATTGTTACAGCTAACTGGATGACTTAAGTTCTTATAAAAGCCTAAGCCTCAAAATTGCCAAACAACTCTGCAAATGATTCACTCGTATCAAGAGAAGCATTCAGAATTTGCACAAACTCACAGTACCATATGCCACTATCAGGCAGCCCTGCTGCTGCGTGCAGCCATTTTCCTTGCCAGTTCATTCATTGATGAATGAATTAACAGTAGTGTTCTGGGTCTTTCAAACATGGCAAGCGCCTGCTTCAAGCTTGGCGTTGGCTGTCTATGGACTTGTTCCTGAGGAGGTCCATTTGCTTTGTACTGTTCTTTTTAGTTTTTGCTTTAAAAGCATGTTTTTTTTCTTATCCTGCTTGCATGGCTTTATGCTCTGGAGTGCATGCACTTTGAGCTCCTTCCCAGGGTGCCCACTAGCATAGCTCCTACATTGACAGAGATATCTTCTCTAATGCGTTTGGGTGTTTATCCTCCGAGAGGCAAGGCCACTGGGAAGAAGACGTCACTTAGGGATATTCACTTGTTTTTTGCTCCTCTGCTTGGAGCCTCGGCTGTGGGCATTGTTGATTGTGCTGGAGCACTGGGGCTTGTTTGTTTATACAACACACTGCAGATGCTAGTTGTAGCCTGGTTGTTTTGACTGTGCTTGGTGTCTGTCTTCCGGCAAGTGGGCACAGTGCCAGGGTGTCCTGGTTGGCTAGCTACCTTCAGGCCCTGGTAATTCCCTTGTGGGTCTTTGGTATGGTTGGTTTGGCCCATCAAGCCTGCACTTGCTACATATGAGAGTTTAAAAGGGGATCATTGTCTTTGTTACCAGACGATAGTCATTCTTTTTGCCTGTCATGCTGCCTGTTGGGTCGGTAACACCTATGATCCTGAACTGTGTGTGGTTTGTTCTCTTTGGATCTCCACATTGACTGATTCAACTTGTGTAGAATTATTTCAGGCAGTGGCCACCTTGAGAGCTAGGTTTTGTAAGTGTTAGGTGTTCATGGCATTGTGGTTGGTTGGTTAGCCCAGAGTTGGACCCAGAATTGGAGATGTTGGTGATCTCCACCTGGACTAAGTCTGTGCCTCTTCTTTCTTATCCCTACAGGTGTGGTTTGCCCTGCTTCTGACCCCCCCCCCCCCTCCCCCTTGATTCTGGCTCTGAAACATCAGAGGGTTTCAGAGTTGGGGCAGGGTTTAGCTCTGGAAGTAGTTCAGCCTTCTCTAGGGGGTAGCCCCATCCACATTGACAGTGTAGGCAGTTAAGCCTTCTGGTCCCACCTGGGTTTCAGGACTATTGTCTTCACAACTGACCCCTACACTCTGAGCCTTCTCCTTTTAAGACGCCTTTCTGTCCCAAGTGTTGGGTGAGGTTATGGCTCTATTCCGGAGCTTTTCTGGTAGGTTTCTGGGGCTGAAGGGTAAACTGATGCGTGTCCATGGGTGCCCTTTAAACATTCTTAGACTTGGTATCCCTCTCCAAAGGGTCTTTTGTGTCAAAGGGATAACTTTTCGTATCCTCCTGTGTATGAGTATGGTCGTTTGGCTGCTCCCCTTGAGTTCAGGTCCGGAGTCCTATATGGTGCCTCAGCATAGCCACATTTCTAGAAGTTTGTCTTCCCACGTTTTTCCTCGGTGGATTATGCAGATTTATTTCGGTGCTTCTTGTGGAATTCGGACCATTTTTTGTTTGTGGATCTGGTCTCTTTTTGAGTGTGGAGCCATCTCAGGTTATTGGCAGCAATGTGAGGCTTCGAATTCATCCTAGTTTGCTGACATCCCTTTCTTTTACTTAACTCTTAAACCATGCATATTTAGAGCCCGGAAGTGAAAAATATTTGAATAAAGTAAAAAAAGCTTAAAAATTTTAAACAAATCTCCAATTTATTGGCTTCAGCGTCGTGAAACTTTCATCGAAATATTTTCAGAAAATGATTTTAGACAAATTTTTAAAAAAGAACGTTTTGTTGATAAGGAAAACAGTTTCTGGAACTAAGGGATAATGCAGTAATAGAGATACAAGCACCAGTCAGACACTCAAAGAAGAATAGTAGTAAGAGGTGTCCACAAAGTGGATATGCAGCTGGTGCCTTTATAGCATTGCCGAGTAATACATAATACCACAAATAATAAGTATTATATTATGCTCTATTTTGTTATATATCATAAATATATTGCCCAATGTTAATATGTTACTTTCATCAATGTCCAATAATTTGTTGTTGTTGTTAAATGCAAAGGTAAATCCATCATGTCCTGGACTGATAATCGGGCTCAGGGGTTTGGCATTCTGAAAGGGTCCTGGCAGCCCAGTATTTGGCTAATGGCCCTGCTTAAGTTTTGAATATTTCTCTTGTTCCATATGAATTATATGTGAAGTTTCCTGACAATTTTGAAGCTTAGGTCTTTGTTATCCCTCCAGTTGTCTGACTTTCTGGCTGCTTTGCTGGTGTGGTGGCAAATTGTCATTTGCTTTGTGCCCCTATGAGGAGGGGCAAGGTTTTGGCTTTGGTCCCAGTAGGCCAAACTGATCTTCCATGCCTGATGTGACCCATTTGCACATAGCAATCTCGGTGGCATGGTCCCGGAGAGCCACCAGGATTCATCTAGGAAGAGCAGTTTCATTACATTCAACACTGGATTTTTGATGAGGTTTACCTTTGCAAATCCCCATAAAAACACATGATCAGTACACTTGCAGACCCTATTCTTGCTGGAAACCATCTCAAGTAATGGTACTGTGTTAAGAACTCCTAACTATTAGTGTATTTGTATTTTCATATTGGTTACAAAATGACAATATAAAAGTAAAGTGGGGTATTAACTTCTTAGAATACTTTTTGGAATGTAATACAATACTGTATATTACACATCTATTGTATAAAGGTGGATTTAAATTTAGTAAAGTTGTGTGCATTTGCCAGGTACCTACTAACAAGTGGGAAAGTATCAAGGCAATTAAGATTTAAATACTGTATTGCTAAAGTTAAAGTAAGGCATTTTACTCGAGTGGAAAAATTCATGACAGGAAATCAGTGGGGGTTGAATTATCTTACTTTGAGATATTTGTGAAAGTTGAGTTCATAGTCATATATTTGAGCATTCATAATTATTTCATATGATTGAAATTATAATTTGAGTTTTCATTTACGTGTTTTCCTCCATTAATGTCATCCTGTAACACACAGTGAAGTACCTGGGTCTACTGGCCATGTCAAAAATCCTGAAGACTCATCCAAAGTCAGTACAGGCACACAAGGATCTGGTCCTTCAGTGCCTTGATGACAAAGATGAATCTATTCGACTCAGGGCTCTTGATCTCCTTTATGGTATGGTAAGTAGTAGAAGTTTAAGATTACAACAGTATATTGAGTTTATTTATATTCCATCTTCCATTAAAAATTATTGGTTTGAAAATTCAGTTATTGCCCATAAGACTCGAGAACCTATGAACCGGTTAATTAAGGGTTTAGAGGCAATACCTAACTTAGAGTTGTAGCTTATTCCCTTTAAGTATAACTTGGTGAGTACTGAATATGGCTATGTATTTTTATATAAATTTACTCTGATCTCCATATATATATGATGAGTTCTTTCGGTGTCACATGGCTTAACCAGTCACTCAGTCCCTTCTTTATTCGTTCAGTTTGTTTTGGTTGTGGCTTCCGCTTCATGGTTTTCCCTTTACATTTTCTCTTAATGCTTTGCTCCAGGACTAGATGTTTATACTTGACACAGACTATCTTGGAAACATACAATTGTTGTTCCATGAAAGCGCTAGCAGTTGTTTATCCGCCAGATCAGACCACCAGATCAGATTGGGGAGATGAATTCTATCACCAGATAGAATTCATCTCCCCAAGCACGGCCAACTTTTTTCTGGCCCCTCTCTCCAGGTGCACCAACCCACTTTTATCTGCCTTACTCATATAAAAGGTCAGCTTTTGGTGTTTAAGGAACACTTTCAGGTTTGATAATTTTACCTTGTGATTTGTAGGGCAGATCATCTGCCATCTTTACAAAGAGCATGTAGCATTGCTTCCAAGTTAAGACTTTACATCATCCTCTCTTTGGCAGTGTGGTGCTGATCTGGCATGTTTACATTAAACTTAGAATTAATGCAATATATATCATCAGTCTGAGATACATTTGTAGTGTTAGGAGGATAGATAATAGAAATTAATATATCATGAATAATTGTCTAGTTTAAAGTTGGTAAACAATTAGACTGAGGAGAGTTTACTGAAATAGTTTGATTATTTTCAATGAGTGGGTGATAGTGGTTAAGTATATTCAGTTAAAGTTGAATGTAGGAGGAGAGGGAAAAAGGCTAGAGAGATGGACAGATAGTGTGTGGGTGTATTTTTAAGAAGCTGGGTTTATATATGAACAGCATATGAGAAGTGATAAGGAATAAGGTTAGAATCGGTTTGAATGAATGAATGACTGATTTTATTTGAGAACTTGCAGGAAAAATTTTACATTGTTGTATGACATGATCTGGTGGTTCTGTGCATATACTACTGGAGTGTGATGGTGCTGGTTCTGTGTGATGCTGCAGTGTATAGGCTGAATTATATGGATGGCTGGTATTTTTGTATCGTTATACATACATCTTTATAGTTCTCTCGTCACCTGGTGGAAAATGTAGTAGTGATGTTGATGACTGCATGCACAATTTTTATTCAGTGTTGCTGTTATATGAATTTGTACTGGTATACATATAAATCAGGGAGGTTAGGAACCCATTTTATTTTTCCTTTTGTTAATACATAATTTTTTTTTTAAATACGTACAACAAATATCTTCAATAGGTTAAACCAAGCAATTTGCATATTTAATGAATTGTCAGTTTATGGATACCTATACCCAGTACAAAATAGTGCACTAGCCACAATATACTCAATATATTGTTTGTTACATGGCAGGAGATATATTTACAACAATGTAAATAAATGCATTAAATTTAAATTAATGCTGAATACCTAGTGTTCCAGCACATGGCTTCAGCCTAATCTTGCAGTTCAACCTTTATGGGGAACCTCCTCACATAACCAGCAAACCTGGTTCTTATTTTGCTATATAAAGTATAGTAGGTATAGGTATAGCTTTTAATTTACATTAAATACATATAAATCGTAATTTACATTACGATACAGGTATAGCTTTTAATTAAACAAGATAGTGTTTTTACATTGCAAGGTGAGATTAGATGTACAGGGTTTAAACATGTAGTAGACAACATTTCTCTCTTTACCCTGCTTTAAAAGAAAGAATTCTAGTCCTTTTAACTATGACTCATAAGATAGTCATATAAATATGTAATGTGTGTGAAAGCATTACAGTAATTATTTATTTACATCAGTTTCGAAGTGCAGCGCAGTATTATAAACATTGTAATATAAATTAGTTCAGTTTATGGGAGTCATCAGCACATAAAAGTTTAGTTTAAAATTTTATGCACTAAAAATATTTTTTGAATTTTCAGGTAACTAAAAAGACAGTCATGGAAATAGTCCGCCGTTTAATGACACACATGGATCGAGCAGAGGGAACTATGTACCGTGATGAACTTCTGCAAAAGATTATACTCATATGTTCACAGAACAATTTCCAGTATATTACTAACTTTGAGTGGTAAGTTTTGTTATTTAATACAGTACATTGTCAAGGTGTCAGTCATGCATCCGATTATTTTAATATTCACCATAGATGCTTGCTGGAATATGAAAGTTATCAAATATTATTTTGTTTATAAAAAATTCATTACAGTGAAATTTCATACATTTTCTCTAGGTATATAAGTGTCTTGGTGGAGTTGTGCCGCATGGAAGGAACCCAACATGGTGGCCTGATCGCCAGTCAGCTGATGGACGTTGCTATTCGAGTTGTTGCTGTTAGGGAATTCACAGTTGGTCAGATGGCACTGCTACTCGACAACGCTCATGTTATTGTTGGGCCTGCTGCAGCCAGGTCATCAATTGCAGAGGTGTTATATGCAGCAGCTTGGATCTGTGGCGAGTTTTCTAAGTGAGTGGAAAATATTTAAAGTACAGTATTATGTTTTATTGTTCTACCAAGACGTATAGTGTAAGTACATTGTAATTTTAATTTTATGCATTTTATTTTAACTGTAGTTCAGATGCTGAATACATTTAAGTGCTAAGAGTTTGAACTGCAACAATATTGGGTGGTAATAATAGTAAGAAACTTGTGTAAAAAGCAGTTATTATTTTTATAAAAACAATTTACCCACATCACCCATTTGTTCAAGACAGTACAATTTTGTTGGGTTCCTAATCACATTGGTGCACAGGAAAATGAAGATGCTTATAAAGCATTAAAAGGAGTAGCCAATCATGGTGCACTGTTAACCTTGCCCATGGACACGTAGAAAGTATTGCAAAATTTATTGAATTCAAATGGAAGAGTTGCTGGAGATCCCTAACCAGTAACAAACTGGTAAATATAACACACTACTGTGGTCCTCCTCTAATAATATAAGTCATTATGTGAGTGTATTAACTTTAGATAGGCCATAATACATAGAGACATTGCTGAACAGAGCAGGACCACTGTGTGAAATATGTCACTTCTTTCTGAGTAGAGCAGGTATTGATGTGCAGACGATGAGTCACTAATGTGGTTGAAGATATGATGACCAAACCACATGCCAGTAGATGGAGATGACAACATTTCGGTTGAATCACATTTTGTCGATTGTGATTGAATCGACTTTGGTCCAGGACAGACCAAAACTTTGTTGTTTCTTCATCTTCTGGTATGTGGTTTGGTCATCAGGTACTGTATTGATTTTAGAGAATTTATAAATTAGAAAATTCTGCTGACATAGCAAAACTATAGATATGAATAACTATGGATATGAATAATGAAATATTATAAATTGTCATCCACACTTTCGTGGAAATAAACATTCCATCCACCTGGGCTCTAGAAGACTTGAACCGTGGACCCCACGCGTGTGAGGCCGAAGCTCTATCAACCGAGCTAATGAGTAGTCTTAAGGAAAATTTCCAGAAGCAGCAGCCTGCTGCCAAATTGGAATTTTTGACTTTCCCTGACTACTACTGAAGCTCAAAGGAATTAGTGATCCACGCCCACGTCATATAAATTGTCATCTACACTTCCGTGGAAATACTGAGCTTCTATTACTGCTACTACTACTGAGCTTCAGTAGTAGTAGCCCAGGTGAATGGAATGAAATATTATATATGTACATATTGGTGTTAGTGCAGATTACTTACTTTAAATAATGGTTTATTTACTTAAATTACACTTAGTTTAAATAATGGTTTATAGTGTATAGTGAAGGGAAGATATTATATAGTGCTTTCAGATAGAATGTGAAATACTGGTATAATATTTTTGTATTGTTTTAATACTGGTTGGTTTTTCTATTGAAGCCTGAAGTCAAAGAATGGGCATGACTGCTGATGGAGAAATTCATCTATATACTGTATATAATATTGGGCTTATCAATATTAACACAATTGAGATTTGATAGAAAATTATTAAAAGATAGCTTAGTAATTATTGATATGATTTATATTGAGCAAGAAATGTTGTACTGTACTTGTTTATGCATTTACTTAATGTTTAAAACATTTACCTGTAATTATATTGCTTTCGAATATAAAAATTAAAAATTCAGTGACATACATAACTTATTACAGATTGTTGGCAAACCCAAAAGCTACCCTGGAGTCCATGGTGAGGGGAAAGGTGGTGTCTCTTCCAGGGCACATCCAGGCAATATATGTTCACAACATGCTCAAGCTTTATGCACATATTATTGCTACAGCAGAGGAGGAGGAAGATTCAGAAATGATAGAGGAGGTAAAAATAATGTGATCATTTTAAGTTAACCAAGTTGTCAGAATAATTTTTTCCGAGCTTTTCTACTTAAAATGTCTGATTAAACAGGCTTGTAATAGAACAGATTGACATTTTGTAATGGCTTGAGTATGTGTGATGGTTGAGCATTGGATAGCAAGGAGGGATGGTTATTGGGGATAGATGCCTAGCTGGGGGCTGTCCTAATTTGTTGCTGTAAAGTGAGTTTTCTGCTGAGACTTGAGCTGGTTTCAGTTTCTATCCAGTACCTCCCTAGCTTCTGCACGATTGGCTTGGACATTTGAAAAGACCACCTACTGTACCAGTGCAGATTGTCACCCTTCCTTGACCATCTTGAGCCTGTTCACTGGGACACTCGATAAGCTTACATTAGAGAATATCTGAGCATCATGCCCAGAAAGGCACTTCATACCCAATAAAAGCCAAATTTTTATTCCACATCAAATAACGTAAAGTTGTTTCAGTGACTGGCAACCTTACCCTAGTGAATGAAGCCTGTCATAATCAGTTACCACAGGTTCTCTTGTACAAGTACCCTTCTGTAAATGTATTTCTCACTTTTTAAACCTTCTCCCTACCTTTTTTACCTGACCCACCACCATCATTAGTTTACCATTTCTTATTTGCATAAAAAGACCTATCCGAAGGATGTGAGCTCATATATGTTGTGCACAGTTGACACACACAAAAGTAAAAACTTAGAACTGTATTGTGGTTTTGGAGGACTTAAACTCCAGGTGGGAGGCAGACATATGTCTTGGGGGTTCAGCACCAACAAGTGTAAGGTAATGAAGATTAGAGAGGAGACCAGAAGAATTTATGCCTTATGGGGAAGGCAATTACAGGACGTATGTGTTTTGGGAGAGTTGTGTATTTTAAATATTAATGCCAGACACATTGTTTAAACATAACATTGGCAGCATATGGAATGCTGGCAAACACAAGATTTGCATTTAGCATTCTCAATAAGGTCTTTTAAAACCATCTACATAGCCAGTATGAGGCTAATACTGGTTTAAACAGCACTAGATTCTGCACAGGAATAGAACTCTCACCTACTGAAGCACTAAAGTAAACTTGTAAAAGTGCAGAGGTATGTAACAAGACTAGTGCCTAAGTTAAGAGGACTAAGCTACATATACAGACTAAGGGAACTCGTTTTCGCACCCTTAGAGAAAGAAGCAGAGGAAATATAATTGCAAACTTTGCAATGGAATTGGCAATGCAGAAAAGGACAACCTCTTTGAATTGACACAATAGGACACAAGTTTCAGTTGGGAAAGCAAATATGTCAAAGAAATGTAATGGCATACTAATACCACCACCACCACCCCACTACCTTCCCACCTCTGAGACTACTGCCAGCTAGTGCTATTTACTCCAGCAAGTTCATACCCCACAATATAGTAGTAGTAGGCATCAGTCAGTCTCAGGAGATTATGAAGTTGTGCTCTGGTTGTCGGTCTGGAGTGGCCTTTCCAGGGCGCTTAGCCAGGGTGGATTGATACAATATTCTAGCCCAGGATTACTCGGATTCCTCTAGTGTGATTGAAACAACCTAATATAACTGAATTACATATATTTTTTATATATAAATAAAAATATAGTATTCTCCAGCCTATATTTGAAATGCATCTTTTAATTTTTAGAAAATTGTCAGGAGAAAAATTACTGTACATGCTGTATATCCAGTTAAGGTGAAGTCTGTGTGGCATTGCTCTGTGTACAATAAATTTAGATATGAGCATGTATGAACAGAGTATTTAAAGAAAAAATTCTGTATCCAAATAGTGTAGGATCCTATAGACCTGTATACAAATAGCAGTGTGCCTCCCTCCTTTTCCCTCCCCCCCTCCCCCCCCCCCCATTGGTATTGTATCCAACATATTTACAATCTTTAGGTTAAGTAAGATTCATAATCAGTCATGAGTAACTTCAAAAATTGCTGCTTTATTTTTTAGTCTGACCCACTTTCCAATATAGTGCAGAACAGTTAAACATTTAGTCATTTATTTATTTGCTCCACTCCTCCGTAAGTTATAGAGTATTACATTCCATCAACCTTTATCTTTACTTGTGATATACAGTGTAAATGTAATTTTTCATTACTCATACATAAATGTTTTTCTCTATTCTGTTAAATAGGTGACAAATCTACTCTTGGAGCGTTTACCAGTGTTTGTGTCATCTGGTGATCTTGAGGTTCAGGAGCGCGCATCCTGTATTGTTCATATTGTGACTTACGTTCAAAAGTGCCACAAGCATGGAGATAAAGTAGGAACAGATCTGACTCTTCTGATAACAGGTGAACTTAATCCAGTGGCTCCTAAAGCTCAGAAGAAAGTACCTGTGCCAGATGGGTAAGGAACATAGATATCAAAGTTTTTATGCCTACCTTGCAGTTTTCTTTTGGCCTAAGTATTAACCTATCATTCACTCAAAATTTGACTGATATACATTGAAAAGCTTGGCTCTATCAGCAGTATGAATTAATCATTATTTTTTAATTCTATAATTTCTACATATTGTACTGTATATAATCCAATATCAATCCACCATTCACTAGGTTGCTTTTTTCTTTTCCTGTCTCTTAAATAAGTTATAGGTAATTTGTAAGTGTGAATCACTTTACTGCTCTATTCAGCAAATGGATCAGTTTGATCAGTGTGACATTCACATTCCTGATATCTCTGAGATCTTTTCAGGCTACCTTTTCCAGGACGTGAATGGGAGCAAGGATAGTCTTGAAAAATTCAGTCTAGCCTGGAATGACCATCAGAGGGTATATTCAATTGAACACACAATACTTCAAAACAAGATTTGACTTTAAAGAGACTGCCCAGTGTTGCTTTCCTAAATTGTTTAATGGCTTTGTGGTACCTATCCCAACCCACCACTAGATGTAATTGCCCCTTCTAGTGGGCATTTGGGGATGGCACCTCAATATGCCAGGCACTTACTCTGATTTGCCAATCAAGGGGACCAGTGTGTAAATTAGTTTTATTGTTGCCTATGTTGCTCAGTTGATGCTTGTGGGGGTGTTCTCATTATTTCTAGTGCCCTGAGCATTCACCACCTGGTAATGCACTTATCATCTTTATGCAATCTTGGTAGCTCATTCATGAGATTTCTCTTTCGGAGGGAACTCTTGACTTCTCATAGCAATTAATGCTCTGGACGAGACCTGAATACTTGTTCATTTACTTGCTACATCTTCCTTTTTAGGTTTGCCTCTGTTGCATTTAGTCTTTGTACTGCAACAGTATATTTTCCTATATTGTACAGTACTACATTTATGCCCTACTCTATTGGGTTGTTTGCTTGGACAAGTCATTAAGATTGAGCCCCCTTTGTTTAGGTCGATTATAATTGTGTTACCTGTATCTTGCTTTGGTGGTACTGAAGTTATTTGTAGTATCCTACTTTCCTGGAGCATTAGCTTTGGAGTTTCACTGGAGCATTGATCCTGCGTTTGTTTAGGTAAAGTTACGATTCCAGGTGCACTCGGTTTGGCAATGCTTAGCATGATCACAGTAAAGTAATATCTGGGGAAGAAGCTGGACATTTGCCTAAGGTAGTTACCAAGTGGCTTGCATGAAATAGAACTTTTTATTTACACTCGAAGCCTAAATTTCTGATACATTAAATGTCTGATACAGTGGAGTTTACCTCCAGTGAATCGGTTCGAACAACTTTTGTTCAAGGGAGTTTTCTGGTTTAGTTTTCTTTCTATTTTTGGATATTTAATGCAAAAGAACTTTATATTAGCTTACATGTTTGCACATATTATACTTTGAGACAAAAAAACACTTATGATTCTTTTTATTTTAATATAAAAAATAGTAAACTTTAAACATGGCTGAATTTCAGATGCAGTATTACATCATTGTCCTTTAATATTAGAACATTGACTGGCGAGGTGTTAATGAAGGAAAACCCCAGGAAGGATGTGTAAATGCAGTGTTGAACAGTTTTTGTTGTTTGAAACAGTCTAACTGGAGATAGGAAACTGTGTTTTATCATACAAATATCTAGCAATTATTCAAGAAAAAAAGGAGTTAGAGAAAATATATAAAAATATGAAGTGCAACATTAAAATTAATTACAACTGTCTTAATTTTTTTGTGCAGAATTACCTCGGTATTTCAGTGCTTAACTTACGTCTAAACCCCATAATCCATTGAAACTATATATTAAATATGTAATTTTTCTGTGTGTGTGTGTGTGTGTGTGTGTGTGTGTGTGTGTGTGTGTGTGTGTGTGTGTGTGTGTGTGTGTGTGTGTGTGTGTAAAAATACTGTATGTGCAAATGTGTGTGTTCATTTACACTTTATTCAGATAATTAATTCTACTATAAATGATTCCTTTTCTTTTACCAGTCTTGATTTGGATGCTTGGATTAATGATCCACCTTCAGAAAGTGAAGAGGAAAATGATGATACTATTAAGAAAGAAATATTTGTCAAAGCAGATTCTTCCTATAAAAATAGAAAGGAGAAGTATGAGCCCTCAGAAGAAGAACTGCAGAAAGTAAGTGTTCATGCAAGATGGCCAAGGCTTTGTTTGATTTATTTTCATTTGATTTGATTAATTTGATTTCAGCACCAAATCACTGGTGCTGAATTCACTGTGTGATTCACTGAAAATAAACTTTTTATGAGAAATATCTCCATTAGAGGCACATATGTTGATGATATGGCAACAAATCAGTATCTAATTAGATTTATATCTTGTTGAAAATTTACGTTGGTTACTAGGTTGAAAGGAAAAGCGAGATAATGAACAAATTTCTAGGTTGACATAATGAACAAATTACTAGGTTGAAAGTGTAAAAGTGAGATAAATATGTAATATGCAGAAATGTATTAAATTGTCGCAAGTGTAGAGATTAGTCGTAAGCTATACAAAACAATTGAGGTAAGGTTAAATATTTTCTTGGAAGTTAAATGTGAAGTTATAAATGAAAAGTGTGAAATGATATTTGTTCATCAATGCATTTTTGAGAGGTAATATAGTCATAACCAAATTTGTTGAAATTTTTTATAATTTTTCCGTAAGTTGACTCGTCGGGAATTTTAGAAAACATTTACTGTTCCACTTGCTGCCAGTGTGTGCACTTTTATATTATTCCTTTATGTACAGTACATATACAACACAGGGAAACACAACAGGGAATTAAGGATCATTCACTAACATTAAAATGAAGATAAAGGTGTGACATACTGAAGAGAAATTCTGAATATTGAAATATAAAGGTGAAGATTATAGTTGGAAGGTTTGGTGTGGTGGTTAATGCATGTTGGCTAAATGTGGATTGGCAATAAATGAAAAGATAGTTAAGGTCTTGGATATTTTTGTCATAGATTAGACATGTTTTTATAGTCGTATGTGGTTTGGTACAAATATTCACTCCATTTGGCTGGGAACAAATATTGGTTGGCACATTAAAATTTCAGCAATTTTGACAAATGTAGGATTCAGGAAAAGATGTGATTTATTAAGACAAAAGGTGAGCTTTCTTTGAATTCCCATCTACCTGATTTTTAGTCTAAAAGTATGAAGGAAAGGCTTGTGCAAGTCTTGTGTATGAGTGTGTTACCAGGGAAGATAAACATAGGGTTAAAACCTGACCAACAGAATTTGTGCTTAGTGGGGCTTGTCAATGTGTGCTGGTTAAGGGAAGTGGTTAGTGTTTGGAATGATTATAGGTAAGTTGAAAAGACAAATGTTTGTGTGTGTGTTTAAAGTGAGCTGTGTAATTAATTTTCTATGAATTCTGTATATCCCAAATTTTTAATATACTGTACTAACAAAACTAATTCTTTGTTTCAGCTTCGGGATGCCAGGAGAGCAGAACAAGCTAGCAACCCTTACTATGTTAAATCATCAGCTCTCTCTTCTCCACGGCCAAATCATAATAGTATACAAGTAGATGAAATTCCTGTTACAGCAATAGACTTAAATGTTTCCCTGAAGATACCAGGTTAGTTAAGCTAGTATTAATTACAATGTGTAAACATTGTTCCTGGAATTACCACCCTTGAGGACTGAACTCAAACCATTCTCTATATTTGATTGTTTTTCATGGTGCCTTTTGTTTTTCATGGTTAACAGTTGGTTTGTCAGCCAGGTGTTCATCATGTCATTTGTTCTGTTACCATGATGAAGCGGTATGCTTCACCATGGTAACTTGTGCTTCTCGAGCTGTTAGTCTTGTTGCCAATTTTCTTTACTTAAGTGTCCTACCCCAAAGCTAAGCTTTCTCAGGTCATGCCATGTAGTTCGATTTAGCCAACATGATGTGCATCCACATACATGTTTACAAATGTGCTATTGCTGCTTTCTTTTCTAATATGTTTACAATTATTATTGGGCTTGAGGTTTTTGATAGTTTGACAGTGTTGGTTGCTTGTTACTGTCTGGACATTACCCATCTTCATTGGGCCTCTGATATTTGCACACATTTCCAGTTCCTGAGTTCATCCTTCATCAAACCCTGGGTTTTAATTTACTGGCATCCCAGTGTTAAAATAAGGGTTAAATTTAGTTAGAATTACAAGGATGGATGTTGATAGAAATAAGTTAAGTAAATGTGAAATTAGAAAGTTGTTAAATGGAAATGCATTGTGGAATGCATGCTTGAAAGAGTGGAGGTGGTTAGAACGTTAAATGAATTTATGTATGAAACAATTTCTTCTGATGTCAAAATATTTGCAAATAATGTATTAAAGTTTATTTACTGGACTCATTGACATTGTCAAATTGTCTTTCTGTGCAGTGAATAATGAAGTATTGTTCTTAAGCCGTGTGAAAGAGACACTGACTACTGTATGAAATTTGAAGCTTCTAGATGGTTTTATGGTAAAATAACTTGTAATAAAAGAAAATTTCTCAAGAAAAATGGGATGGATCAAGCTCATCAATTCAAATTTATAGATTGTTGTACATTGAGTAAAATAAAGTTTTTGAATTTGCATTTATGAGCTTGATAAATCCCATTTTTCATATGAAGCCAGGCATTCATTTTTATTTAAGTAAATTTATTGTTTAGAATAGAAACTAATGTTAAATGAAAATTTGTTCTTACGACGCCATTTAACACTACTGTACAGTACTTAATGATTGTTATCTCTGTCTGTTTTTCATTTTTAACAGGCATGACATCGTTAGATAAGTACCAAGTGGTTGATGGGTGGCAAGATGGTGGAAAGAAGCGACACAAGAAACAGAAGAAGCGTAGTAAAAGGAAAGGACAGGCATCATCCAGCAGTGATGAGGTGATGTGATACTATACATCACAGTATGCCACTGTAATGTATAGATTGAAATCACAAGCATTGCATTCTGTAATCCTATGTTGTCTAACTTGTATTATTTTAGACAATGATGAATTATTCACCATGTAATGTATTGTCTTTATCTAACAGGAAGTTCATCAGCTACATGTAGTAAATACTGACATTGGGGAGATGCCTGAAGGGGCTCATCTGTCTGATGATAATGAAATAGATGATCGACCAGAAGATGATCCTCACAGAGCTCTGGATATTAATCTTGATGAGTGAGTCCTTCATCCTTTTCTAACCCAAAATGGAATACATCATAATATAGTATATACGGTATATATGTGGTGCTTATTTTATAACTTCCATTTACCTTACCCTGAGGAGCTGTTGCTGCATCACACTCAATGCAGGACAGTAGATTACAGTACAAGTACAGTGCTGTACTTTATTTTGCATTTTGCTGTTGTTTTGCTGCTAAGCTTGAGGCACAATGACTTACTTACTTACTTCTTACTAAGTCTAGTTAAGTCTTGAGTGTCATCACACTCAATGCAGAACAGTAGATTACAGTACAAGTACAGTGCTCTACTTTATTTTGCATTTTGCTATTGTTTTGCTGCTAGCTTGAGGCACAATGACTTAGCAAGTCTTCCCAAATCATAATATAGTGTGACCTTGATAATCTGAATCATAATAATCAAGAAGCCTTGATTGTCCAGGAGGAATTTGGTACTGGAACTCAGGATAAGGATCCATACCAGGCATTTTAAATGGCTGAATTTAAATTGATGACTTCAGCATTAATAATAATAATAATTAAAACAAAAGCCAATTGACATTTTCTTTCAGATTTTTTGTCGATATCCTCATAATTTTCTGCTTACAGTTCAAACATTCTGGTTTTATTGTAAGGCTTAGAGAATTTAATCATAGAAGTTCCAATAATTTAATTAATAAATTTAACAATTTAATTAATAGTAATAATTTTAAATTAATTTTATTAAATTAATTTAATAATATTTGTATGGGAAATCTGGAGGCTTGAATCCTGGCAAAAAAGGTACATTTTGTCAGATTAATTACTTCTGTAGGCCATTCTGGAATTTGTCACAAGTACATCAGAGTTCTTGGTGAAGGGCCTAAGTGTTTATAGATAGATGTTGATATGCTGTAATTGTTGTTTATATTATTCTATGTTTTTCTTCAGACCTTTGTCACCAAATGAAGTTCTTCCAACTAGGACCCATCATGAAGTGCACACACAAAGAAAATCAGAGGGCAGTGATGAGGCTAACTTCATGCCACTAGGAACTCCAGTTAAGAAAATAAGAAATAAAGGCAAAAAAGACAAAACTAAAAAAGTAAAGAAAGAAGAAAAAAGGGTTAAAAAGAAACATAGTGGAGATAACAAAAACATCATATTGGATTTGATTGATCCACTCAAGGAAACGGACATTAGTGATAAGATTCCCACTGCAGCTAATCATATAAATGGAATCACAAATGCTAAGAATGAAGGAAAGGTATGTTGTTCGTTTGTATTTTTCACCTGGTTCTTAATACTGTTACATTTGTAATTTCAAGCCAACTTCATGGTAAGCCGTGCAGTTATTTCACCCTTGCTTTTAAATACTGTACTCTTTGTCTTGCTTTTAGATGGCTGATGATCTAATATATATACATGTTATATGGGTACCGGGGTAATGTTAAATTACATTTTAACATTGATGCTATATGTGTACAGTACTGTAGTGTGAATTATAAATCACTGAACTAGTGACATTTTTGTGTACTGTGTATGAAATAGTTTTAATTTTCACTTTTTCCAGGCTGATACTTCTGCACTCGATAAGCGTTTTATTAGATAAATATGAAATATCTGAATGTTAAGGGATTATCTGAGGCTATCTGCCTATAAAGATGGCCACAGATAGCATGTATTAGGCCAAGGGTAGCTAGATTAGGTTAGTTAAGTTTGTCTTTGCAACATAAGTAGAAAATAGTTTTCCGGTTTGTCCAACTCAATAGTGCCGATTTCTACTTTCTAATTTTGTTGTACGTTGATATACAGTATATATATACTATAACAGGTGGATGGGCTGGTGAATCGAATGTATTCTATTCCAGTCTTCATTATCATTTTATTTTATTATTTATTAAAACTACCACATCAAACTATAAAATGTTTGTTGCTTTTAGCCTATTGTTCTTTATTTCTCACATTGCATTTGAATCTGCCATTATTTTCTGTTCTGGGCAGGTGTTGGCCTCAGATCTCGGATAAATAGGTGGGGGCAGTTGCATAACCCAAGATATAAACTGATTAATTACAGAATGCATTTTTAATATTCATTTTACTAACCTCTTATTAGATCTCAAAGTATATAATTCACATTGTGAGAACCTGAAATACAAAATATAGTAAATACTGGATAGTGAATAGAATTAATCTAATAATGAATCCACCTTGCATGATCATAGAACTGGCAGGGTAGTGTGTTATAAAGTTCTGGCAATGTTGGGTTACATTCTATGATGGGCATGAATAGATTTTTATGCATACTCACTGCCCATTATCACTGGGGATATACAATTGTTTATTGATGAAAATTAATCCAATAGTTCATTTATCTCAAGAGGAGCCACTTGAAGTTTATTATTTTTAGGAGTTCAGGTTGTGCTCGATATTGCCTAGAGATGCATGGTTCCTTACTCCAAAACGTAATAATAATTCGTTGTGTCGGAGACAAGCAGCCTGTGTATATGTATATGTTAGGCTTATATCGAGGTCTGTCAAGACCAAACTACTCACCCTCCTCAAGTAGCAACCTCTCAACAAATTGTGAGGTACCACTCCCAGGTACCTATTTACTGCAAGGTGAACAGAAGCATTAGGTGATAGGAAACATGTCCAATCATTTCTGTCCTACATGGGATTCCCAATTGAGAGTTGAGAACGAATCCAATAAACTTGTTTTAGATTTACAGTCAACAATCAACTTGGAGAACATCTTTTGCATCTCATTCGAGTGTCTTCAATTTATTTATGTAATTTGGAGTGAATAGGTTCCACACTAGTGCTGGATCGTAAGTTACTATGCTCAGTTAAGTACTGATTAGTAGTGCTTGAACTTGGCTTTTCCTTTATTCAGCCTACAGATGACTTAGATTTCTGGCTGTCTAAAGAGGATTCATCGCCACGGGCATCACATGAACCTGCTGTGGATGGGTCAACAAAAGTGGCTTCTCCATCTACCCCTCCATCAGCCAGAGAAGTGGAAAGTATAGATGTATGTACACAATTGAGACCATGGAAAAAACGTGTAATTTCTTCCCTTGTCAATACCTCCTCTCTTCCACTTCCCCTTTCTTCCACTCTCATCTTTCCTCCTAGCCTCATCTTTTTCAAGTTATATGTGGAAAGAGTCCACCTTTTTCTTATTACAAATGTAATTAATGGAGAAAACTTGATACAAATTTGGCCCTCTTCTCCCCCCCCCCCCATAAGAATAAAGGGAACGATAGAAGGCCTATTGGCTCATACGGGCAGCTTGCTCATACATCTAACTTGTATTTGAAACAATCCATCACTCTCTTATCCAATAAATTACTAGGTAATTCATGCCATAAATCTTTAGCTTTATCTCCAAACCAATAATTACCTAGGTCTTTTTGGGATCTAAACTTGTGTAATTTGTATTAATTGTATCTTGTTCTTGCTTGCCTATGAGTTGCATCCTATTAATATTTGTACGTTTGTATAGAATACTTGAATTTTATATAGAATGTAATTTAGGCTTCATTTAATCTTTCCATAAGTGAGGTTTCTGATTCCTGGGAACTTCATAATTCTATGAATGGGCAACTGAAATCAAACGAGGAAGAGAAGGGGTCAGCAGATTGCATATTTTTGGACTGTTAAAAAGCTATCACATGCTACCCCACAGAAGAATAGTGCACAACATTGAGAAATAGGCAGGAGTGACAAGATATTCCAGTGCTTAAAGTATCTGTGGGTGTTTCATATTACATAAAGACACGAGTGTCCCAGTGGGACTAGAGAAATCATATTGGAGAGAGGTGACCAGTGGCATCTCACAAGGCTCAGTACCAGAGCCAATCTTATTCCTAATCTATGTGAACAACCTTCCAGTGGGGAATAGATTCCTTCCTCTGTTTTTTTTGCCAATTCAAAGATTAGAGAGTGAATAAATACAATGGAAGACTGCAAGAAACTTCAGAATGTTCAGAACTTTTTTAATGAAGCTGTATTTCTATTGCAGAATAAATCAAAGAAAACTAAAACGAAAAAGGAGAAAAAGGCTAGAAAAGAAAAAGACAAAGATAAACCTGATAAAAAGAAGATTAAGAAAAAAGAAAAAGGGGAAATAGATTCACTAATTCGTAACAGAGATGAATATGAGGAGACAAATGGAACTGTCACTCAGGAGGTAGAGGAGAAGCTAGTGGTGGCAGAAGATCAAGCAAATGTCAGATTATTAGCTGAGGATTCTCAAATGAGAATGGTGAGTTAACTCAATTTTGTTTATTGTATGTACTGTAATAATAAATATTTTCATTGATAATTATGCAGTTAGTATAACATTACTTGGGAATATAATATATTCATGAATATTTCTGGACTGAATTTGAGAGAAGTTAGTTAAATTTTACATTTCAATAAACCAGGTCTGGTTTTCTGAGGATGAAGGGAATTGGCCCTATATTTTAATAAAACCTTAACATTATATGTAGTATACATGTAGTATAATTGTCATAATGTATGCAGTATATATAAATATATTTGTTTCAGGTTTATTCAACTGCAGCCATGGATGATGTTATGAGTGAAATACTGGTGCGTATAAAATTCACCAATCTGTCCTCTAAGACTGTGAGCAAATTACAGCTAATGTTGCCAGACTCTAGTGCCCTTAAGATGATACGAACAGTAAGTATTTTAATGTATTTTTAAAGTACATTTTTCATCTTAATTTTAGTGATGCTCCTTGTACATATATGCATTGCTTACACACACTCGCACACATGTGCACACACATATGCATGCATGCATACACACAAATATTTGGGGAAAAGAAATCTAGGGGTGGTTCTGGATAGTAGAATGTCACCAGAGGAACACACTGAAAAAAAAGTTATGAAAAATGGCTAGAGACATTAAATATGCCAAAACTAGAAGATAGAAGAAAGAGACAATATCTCCACAAACGAAATAATAACAGGAATAGACCAAACTTACAAAGAGGAACTCCTGAAACTGGTAACCTCAAGAACAAGAGGTCATACATTCAAGCTAAGGAAACAAATGTGCCAACAAATATTAGTTTTCATTTGCAAACAGAGTGGTAGACAGTTGAGAAAGTAGTAGTGAGGTCAAGTTTAGTGAGAATGTAGTAGAGGTCAAAACTGTTGGTAGTTTCAAAGTGTTATATGACAGTGTTGGAAAGTCAGGAAACCATGAGCGTAGCTCTCATCCTGTAACTACACTTGGGTAATTACACACACACACAATCTCATCATGATTGTCATATATTAAAAAGATGGTTTATATTGTTGTATCTGCAGCCTTTCATGCACAGTTTTGAATTGTATCCTTATTCAATTTGGTCAATGTGTGCATTCCTGTATCCCTTATCTTACCTTATGGTAGTTCCACCATAAGCTGTTGCCAAATCCAAAGATCTTCAAATATAATGGGCTGACCTTCTCTATAGCTATCCAGTGCTTATGGTTCTAGTATTGCTGAGCCAGGAACAAAATTAGAGAGTAGAGGAGCAGAAGTAGACCCAAAATCCAGGTAACAGTCCAAATTTACAGACAAATGCAAAACAAAATAGTGCTGTTTTAGGAAATAAATTAAATAATGAAAATAAGATAAACGGGTAAATAACCATTGCATCTACATGCTTGGTAGTCACCAAGGACCATCACCACTATCAATCATGTTCCTGGTACTGTACTGATAGATTTGTGCCTTCTTAGCATGAACTTTCTCTGCTACCTACATCTTGATGGTGTAGATGTTCTTTGGACTTCTTACATCCTATGCAGGGCAGTGCTTTATGCATTTTTTGTATTTATATTTCATGATTTTGTTTAGGCCATTCACATAACATGCCCTTAGCTTTTTATTACCAGATACTGGATTTCATATTCCTTCACCCACCAGTTTTATTTTCTTTGGTTGTCTTGGGTGTATACCTCTCTGGGTCAGATCCTTTTGAATTGTCTCGCATCTAGATTGTGTGGGGGACTTCTGCTAGAGTGAGGCCTCTTGATGATGGGGATTTAAGTACAATATTTAGCTGATAGATTGTGAGCGGGGGTTGCCTAGCACCGACACACTCTTTTTCCCTCATCGTTCCTTGCACCTTCAGCTGGATCATGTCCATGGCTTAACATACATTTTCTTGTCACCTAACCAACAGAGTTTAGAATTCAATAGTTAATTATGCTACTGTTGTGCCTGGCGTGTGTCTTCATTCTTTATAGTCCTGAAAGCCAATTCCCATTCACCTAAGATGATTGTTTAATTCTTTTCCTCCTTTAGTTGGGCTGTGACGGATAACTCGGCTAATTTAAAGCCAGACTTGGCCACTTTCGGTTTTAAGGATGGATTTTTAGTGTTTGTTTTTTTAGACCCATGATCAATCCTATTGCCTGTCATTCCACCTGTTGGGTTCAGAGGCTCTTTCACCTTGTTCTGACCAAACATTCTCTTGAGCTGCAGTTTATCAGGCTGAGGCAGTTTTGAAAACTCATACTGTGCGGTACAGGTTTTTAAAGCTCTTGACTTTTTACTGTGCAGAGGCAGAGGATTTTGCATCCTATGAGATTTTTGAGGCCCCTGATTCTTATGACTTGTGCTAAATTCTAGTTCTCCTCTGCTGATCTTTGATTTTGCCATTGGTTATCCTCCATGTTTGAATTATGCTTGTTTGCTTGGTGCCTCCTTAGCCATCCAATAAGGGTCATCCAATAAGGTTAGCAGACTTCTAGATGTTACCACTGCTAGGCTTAGGCTCGGCTACAAGTACCTCTTTTCAGGTGCTCTTTCATACAGGTGCTTTTCTTGGTCCAAATAACAGGTTTAGCTTTGCCCTCACTTCGCAGGTTTCTGCAATTTTGCCTGTCATCAACTTGGGCTCAGCAGGATTTGCTTCAGTTCCTGCTCTTATGCAGTGACCATGCATCTGAACTGGACTTTAAATTTTTTAGAATTAAATTTATTTGCCACTTATTTTAAGAGATCCCAGTTTCCTTCTTGCTAGCAGACTATCATTTGTTCTCCGTGGAGAACAGGTCCTTTGTTGCAATTGGGTTTTGCCTTGAAAAGAAGTCAGTCTTCAAAGTTTCTCCATTTTTTCCTTCGCCTTACCTATTGTAAGAGCATTGTATTTCCACATCCAGGTTTTCAGGGTACCTTTGGTTTTGAACTACATGGTTTGGGTCTGTTTAGTGCAGGTTCCTAGTTTATATGTTGCTCAGGAGATAAATTCACTATACAAGTATTTGTATGAAGAGCAAGTATTTCTTAATCATATTGGGATTGAAATAGTCAAAATACTGTGCTGTATTTTACAGTACAGTAATATAGTACCATACACATTTGAACTGATGGGCTTTAACAAAAATTTCTTTGTTTCGCATAAAGAAAATTATAAACTGGCAGCTAGCATCTGCCTGACAGCCGAGTAGACAGTACTTTGAATTCGTAGTCCTGATTTTCCGAGTTCGATCCCCGGTGGAGCCGGAGACAAATGGGCAAAATGTTTCTTTCACGTTGATGCCCCTGTTACCTATCAGTAAATAGGTACCTGGAAGTTAGACAGCTGCTACAGGCAGCTGTCCTGGGGGTGTGTAACAAAAAGGAGGCCTGGTCGAGGACCGGGCTGCGGGGACACTAAGCCCTGAAATCATCTCAAGATAACCTCAAGAAGATAGCAACAAAGAATCATATATAGCATGAAACATTTTAACCTCAATGGAAAATAAAACAATAAATTACTTGAGTGCTTTCGTGCAGCTCAACACATCATCAGTTGATTTGCACAAAAGCTCTCAAGTAATTTATTGTTTCATTTTTCGTCTGTGATTATATATATTCACATTATTCATCAGGTGTTATTTTTGTGATATATATACAAATATGCTATGTATATATGTAGTTATTTTTTTCTGCATATATTTAATATGAATTAAGCCCCTATATTTTGACACCTATTTACTTTCATTCTGTTTTTCAGGATCCACAATCGGAATTGGTAAATCTTCCTTGGACTTTAGAGCCAGGAGAATCCAAGGAGACCCAGTTATCTTTTACTGCTGAAGATGTCACCATTCCACACAAGCTCAGGGGTTTTCTTTCATACATTCAGGTATATTCAGTCTTATTTAAGTTGAGCACCAAGCTAATGCAATCTTGGGTGAGGAGTTGTATTATTTACATTAATCTTAACCCCCAAGCTACTAAGGGCTATTTGGCCTCTCACCCACAGGTGCACAAAAAAAAAAAATCTTATAACATGTTAATTTGTGTTCCCTGGTCACAGGAAAAATAAAAAATAAATTGTAAGTGACATATTTTGGCTGCAATAAGTCTGGTAAGAAAGAGGCACTGACTCAGCAAGCGTCGAAGGAGTTCTGCTTCGCCACAGCTGTCTGGCAGGAGTTGCCACAAACACTAAACAAATACTCGTTGCTTTATATTACACTATATACATAGGTTATATATAAGGATCTGCATGTTTTGTTCATCATAACAAACCACTAAATTGATATTGTGAGTCAAAAAGCAACAAGGAGTGGCCAGCCAGCCACTCGCTACCACTCCCTCCCTCAAAAACTCCACTCGTCTGCTTCCTCCTCCCACCATACTGTTTTTGCTTTTATTCCCTAAATACAGATGTTATATATAAGTATCTACATGTTTTGTTCACCATAACTGTTCATCTAAGCTGGCATAGTGAACAAAGAGCATAGTGGCCACCCTTACACAGAATGACAAGTCAGGAAGATGACGTCACCTCCCTCACCAAAATGGCTTCTCCCAACACTTCTTTTGCTTTTATTACATTATATATGTGCATTATAGATAAGTATCTACATTTGTGTTCACCATAGCAAACCACTAAGCTTGTATGATGACGGCAGACAGTAACAGGTGGCCACACACAACTGATGTTCCCTCCCTCAATGGTTCAAGGCCAGATGCACTAACATTTCTCCTTCAAGTATACTATTTGTGATGTTATTACACTATATACACACATTATATATAGGTATCTACATATTTTGTTCACCATAACTGTTCAACTAAGCTGGTATAGTGCCCAATGAGCATAGTGGCCACCCTTACACAGCGTGACAAGTCATGCAGATGTTGCCACCTCCCTCACCAAAATGGCTTCTCCCAATACTCCTTTTGGTGTTATTACACTATATAAGTACTGTATCTACATTCTTGTTCACCATAGCGAACCACTAAGCTGGTATAGTAAGTGCAAAGAGCAACAGGTGGCCACACAGATTTGGCAGACTATGCTACAGCCCTCCCTCCCCTCAACATTACTCCTCCCACAGCACAGAGCAAATTATCAGAATCCTGCTATTATCAGAATCCTGGTCATTTATATCACGGTCAGGGATCTTCTGTAATGCATATAAGTTGACATTTGAAGCCTAACAATTTCTCTCCAAAACCAGGGTTCGACTTGTTCACCGAATATATAACGTGTGAACCTTTACCACTGTGAAACATAAACAAGTGAAACACCCTGCCTTACACTCGTTGTACACCATTTGCCGTAACTCTTGCATAATAATATCAGTGACTTGCCGTAATTCGTGGGATAGCTTACCATAGACTCGTTAATATTGTGTGGTTGGTTTGCTCTGTAAGTTAGAACTCGCTTTCAACTAAAGTGTTTTAGAAAACATAGCCCTGCAAACTTGCCATTTACAACAACTGATTGGCATACCAGTGGTGCCACCAACACCAGGAGGCTAGTTGTTGAACTCTATGTGGGTGAACTATCATACAGGACATCTCTCCCATCAGAAGGTACTGAAGATGCAATAACTACCATAACCATAATTGCTGGTATTCTTACATACTATATAAACCTGTCTTATTACAATAGTAACACAGGCAAAAGGTCTTTACTGTCTACAGTTCTCTTTACTTTAGTCTACTAACATTTACAGGTAATTTCCCTTGCTAGCTAGCACTAAAGTCTATACCAGATATTGATTGATATTAATACTAACAAGCTCGAATTTGTATACGGTACTTACCTGTGTCTCTGCAGTGAAGTAAACCGATGTTCACTTCACGGCACTTTACTCACTGTAATTTTCTGCTGATTATCGGCAGAAAAATTCACAGTTGGGACCCACTGAAAAGATGGAAGTATGACTGTGAATGCGAACTAAACATTGTAGAATTTGTTAAGAGCTCCAATAATTGTGCAGCCTCCAGAGATTTTGGTGTCAGTGAAAAGTTGGTGCGTGTCTGGAGGAAGATTGTGCATTTGTATGTGGGGAAAACTGAAAGATCACGTGGCAGATTGGGTACTGGAAAACCTGTCAAAATGGCTATGCTGTTAGTAAAATGCCAGACACATTTATACCCGTAACTGGGCCAATGGTCACTCTAACTTTGGGGATCAGCAAGTTGGTGCACCACATTCATGAATAGAAAAGGTCTAGTGTTGTGGGAAAAGACAACAATAGCCCAAAACTTACCAGAAGACTTTCTGATGCAAAGTTTACATGTTTTCATACTTTTGTTATTGGCCTGAGAAAACACAATTTTTTTCCTTTGTCTCAAATAGGGAATATGAATGAAACTAGTAAATTTCTATATGCTTAGCAACAAAACTGTAGATATAAAAGGAGTAAAAACTTTCATGTTAAAAAGTATAAGGTGTGAAAAAATTAAATTTAGTATTGTACTCTCCTGCATGGCTGTTGGAACAGCTAAAACCTAGGTTATATTCAAAAGAAAATTAATGCCCAAAAGAAAATTTCTGGCAGGTGTGTTCATTCACGTCCATCTAAAAGGGTAGATGGATGAAAATGGTGTGAAGCTGTGGATAGAAAAGGTTTGGAATCAATAACCACTTGATTGGTTATTAATTTTTGATACCAAACCATTGCTGCATATTTTGACTTTGGAGGAGGGGGGGGGGGAAGGTCATGCATTATAATTTTTCTGATAATTCTTTCCATTGTGTTCTTTAAAGCTATTCAGAAATTGTCAATCTAGTTTTATGATTAATTCCAGGACCATTAGAATGCCAGTTTGTCTGTGTCACTATATGCACTGAATGGTTACTAGTCATAAGAGGGGTAATAATTTGAAATATTTTTCCTATGGACAGTGTTATGAGATTTCTCATTTTCAGGATGGCAGCAGCAGTAGTGATTTATCCTTGCGCCTTGAATTTCCTGTCACAACTTTCCTCTCTGGCAAGACAGCAAGTCGAGCAACATTTACAGATTTGTTAAGTTCAGGTCAACTTTCTGCAAGATCTTCCTTTACACTGCCGGAGTGCCCATTGTCTTTCCCAGAGGTAATTGTTTTATTCATGCATCTGTTGTATATGCAGTATTACCATACTCAGACTGATTGGGAGCCAGGTCTGTACAGTTTTACCAAGGATTCCATTGCACCAATTGCTTTTTTACTTTTTTTTTTTTTTTTTTGTATGTTATACAATTTCAATTTTTTTTTACCTAAAATGATAATCACATCTTGGTACATAAATTCCAAAATTAAAATTATATAAAGCAATGCATTTTAAATCTGCAAGTACTGAATGGTTAAATAGAAGAAGAGATACTGTACCTAGAGCTGGTAATGCACGGTCTGTCCCGAGTAATTACCATACAGAGATTGTGATAGTATCCTGCAAATGCAGGTGAAGTATTTGCAGTTTCACCTTCATAAAGTCCATATATACCATTCATACCTCGTGCATTCTCATGCCTTCTCAATGCATATAGCTGACCTAATACACCCTCTTCGACCATGGAATCTACCTTCTTCACTAACTAATTTCCTAAACACATTTAATAACTGTTCTGCTATAAACTTTGCACACTTCATTTAGTAAAATAAGGCCTTTGTCTCACATTAACCTGGAACATCAAACTTTTCTTCCATGATAAGTTCATATGTTTTACTTGATTATTTATTTACTATATGCCATATATTTATATATGAACTAATAGTGTAAATATATATGCTATGAGGCATTTGTGATTCTTGTTTAATCTGTAATTTTGTTTCTCAAGGTACTGGACAAACTAACACGAGGGAGAAGTTTAGCAGTGGTGGAGAGAGTTGATCAAACTGCTTCCTTATATGGTCGCTCCCTCCATGGCCACCATGTTTGTCTCCTAGTCAAGTACCAGGTAGTTTTCCTTCATTTATTTATTACAGAAATTTTCATATACATTAAAAGAGAATGTGAGACGGAAAAGATAGCATTTCATGTAAAGAAAAATTTGATAAGTGTAGACTTTATTTTCAAATAACGTTATTGCCAAGCCAGTGTCAGTCAGGAATGATCTCTGTTCATATTCTTGGATGCTAGCACCAGTTCTCGCCTCCCTCCAACTTCCATTGCTTGCAGCTTAGGTTCTCCTACAGGAATTTCTCGCGTCTTTTGTACTTCACTCCTTTTACCACTCCACGACAGTGGGTTCAGGTGGTATTCACTATTAGATATTACATCATTTCTCTATATGTACCTAATAGTTTTGTTGAATATTTCTAACACATTATTTGAGATAAGTGATCTGTCTTCGAGGCCTGGCTTAAGGCAGTTTTTCTTATTTAGTAATCTTATTTACTAATCCAGGACACAGGACATCTTTCTTAGGTATTTTGCCTTTGTGTCCTGACCATTTTTCTGTAAGCTCCTCAAACATATGATTAACCTCTGGGCTGTGCAGCTATTAATACTGTAGCCGATAACTGCTCGGAGCACAAGGGGAAAAAAAATTCCCCTCTAATGTTGGTAAAATGCTATATTTGATTTAAGATCAAATTGAAGTCCCTAATCACGGGGAAAAGAAAATCATGTGTGACTTAATTTGGCCATGATGGAGTGAGGAAGTCTGACAAGATAAAGGCACTGAAAGAGTACAAGTCTGGCCCGGTTTGCTCCAGTCAAGCCGTGTGCCTGTATCACTCGGTTCTCCACCTGTTTGATGCATAAATTTTTTGACTCCGAAGACTTGAATGTCGAAGACCCTCAAATGTGCACATTCTTGTGGCATTCTTCCTAACCACCAAAATAGGCAATTGGGGAAACGTCTCTGGCTAGTTTGCATAATGGCCATGTATGATAAATACTCCTAATGGAACAAAAGCCTGCTCCTTACTGTCAGGACTGCATTGTTGTGCACATTCTCGTAGAATGTCCTGATTTTCAGGATGCTCGGAAATCTTGCTTTCCCAGTGTTCGTTTGAATTGTATGTCCCTTGATAAAATTCTGTGTGAATCTGACACCCTTGATCTTTAGAAATTCAGTATGTCTATTTTTGCTCTAATATTGGCATCCTGAATGATATCTAGGAATTTGTAAAATTCTATGACTGACTAATTAGTCTAATGGGTTTAGAGCCTTCTTTTTATAATTGTTTAATTTTAATTGTAATAAATTAGAATGTTGCTTTTCTATATGTGTGGGGTATTGTTACCGAGTAGCTAAGGAGTAAGAGTCCAAATGGATTATGTTGTTAGTGAGAGATGAAACCACATTCATTGAAGTTTGCTCTTGGAAGTGTAAATGAAGACAGAGGTTTAACTTCATGAGTCTCCTTACCAAACAGAGTGAATAAGATGCACATCTTTCCTGAAAGTTCTAGTTATTTCCTTCTGTATTACTCAAACTGTTTGAGCTATATGCATTGTTCAAGTTATTATATATATTAATTATAGTCTTTGTATTGCAGGCATCACATCGATTGACAGTTGATGGCAAGAGTACAGATGGAATACTTCTTTCCAATGCCCTGGATCACCTAAAAACTACAATAATGAAAAAATAGTACAGTTGTTGCAATGCTCTTCCCAGTAGGAAGTTGAGAAGTTGGCAGTGTGCTCTTAGATAACAAAAAAAAAAATTTATCACCTTCAGATTTTAAGTTGTAGGCTGTAAATAAACATTCCTACATATTATTGGTAGCAGAAAAGTATAATTTTTTTTTATTCTAATTTTGGAACGCCTTTTTTATGGATAGTCATAATAGAATACTTCTACAAACAAGTATAAGTGCTGTATATCAATTCTTAAACTTTAATCATGTGATTTTTCTGTAACTTGTTTGTAATATTGCTATCTGTTGAAATTATGCATGGCTTTACCTGACTTTTTAAGAGGAGCAGACTGTAAGTGTATGTTGATTCTCCATCATCAGTACCAAATTTAATATTCACCTACAAAATTACTGTAATTTAAGACAATTTTGTATTAATGATGCTGTGAGAAGTCATATTACCATGTAATTATTCTGAATTCAAGTACTTTGTAGCATTTCACTATAAATTAAAATTATGCATTGGAAAAAACACATTTATGTTCACCATGTGTGTGTGCCAAAGTAAAATAATTAGGTTTGGCTTTTCTGTTATTGCAGTCCACTTTTGACAGCTTTAAAGTCTTCAATGGAAATAACAAATTGTGTATTTAAATTCTGACCTCTAAATTAATTAGTTTTAAATGATTCTTCTTATATATTAGCTCTCTATATGCCATACCTATAATTCAAAACACGTTCGTGTCCTCTTAAAAATAATGAGAACTGTGGTCTCGGTGTTTTTTCCTCATCTTTCTAAACTATATTAGTGTGCTGCTGCCATCAGGATACTCTTCCTTGCAGTGAAATAAAAGCAAATCTGATTTAATAAATAATTCTCATACACAATTTCAACAGTATGCACATATTTTGTTTGAGCTTCTGTTACATTATGTATATATATTCCGAGAAAATTTCAATGAATTTGAGGGAAAAGTTTATAAGCAAATAATTAAAGCCAAATAAATAATTTGACCAGTGTGTGTGGCTTTGCAAGTGTCATCCTATTCTGTAGTACATTCTACAATTATGGTACTGTTAAAGTGCTTGCTTACTTCATTAGTTAGGATTTGCCAGTGCATGCAAATGTGTGTAATATATAAAAAAAATCTATCAGTTTGTAAATAACTGGCCTGACTCACTATAAAAGATATTTGTTTTTTTATTGGCTGTAGTAGATTCCAGTATCACCAGTGCCTTGCATGGGCTTCTTATGGGCCACAGGCTGCCTTATGCTAACCTGATGCTATTTGAGACATTATCCTAATACCTAACCATTAGGTCTTAGCCATTTTACTTATTCTGGACTTTGACGATAAAATATAATCTTATGATTATTATATGTAAATAACTTGATGCTGTCCATTACATAAAGCAGGCTTTCAAGAAGGGTGAGTATCTGGTTAAATGATTATGATTATCCACTATTAGAAATTGGATATATTTGTGTATACAGTATTTGTTTTATATTTAATATATATTTAGTGAATATTGAACCTTATGTAAAAAAGTAATTTGAAAGTCGGTATTGGATTAAAGATCACATAGTGCATTGGTGATGATCATGTCATCCACAGTAATTCTCTTGAATGTTGTGTGCAGTAATCCAAGTGACACCATAGATTAAAGGGAGGGCATCTGAACACAGCCCAGAGCAAACCCACTCCTGTGCCTGCTTGCATCAAGCTTCAAACCATTAAACAGATGTAGATAATCCCATAAATGAATTTTGTTCATAAACTATTGAAGCCGTTATTGCTATGCCTCTTCCCAACTCCCTGACTATTCTATCAGGGAGGGGGGGGGGGGGAGGGAAATGCTAGGAAGTAGATTTTAGATCTGATTTTAAAGTAATTCCTAGGTTATTTAATTTTAAATTTTTGAGTGCCTGATAAAGTTATTTGAATTTGGTGACCAAAATGCCCCTAGTTATATAGAATGATACATAGACTATGATATTTACAATACAGTGGTTGTCAATATGTACTGTATAACATTCATATAGTGACTTATTTTTTTATAAATTACTGTAATCGCTATTATTCAGCTTCATTTAGATACAGACAGCCACATGCTTCGCGAATGCCGTCTATCCAAAAATGCCAGTTTTCTGATAGGGATTGGTTCGGATACTCAAGTTCGGGAAGTGCAAGGTTTGGGTATCTCATCGAGCAAGTGTCTGCCAGGCCTTGTGGCCCGGGGTGGTGGTGGGTTGTTGGGTGGGAGATGGGCCTAGTTTGCCCCATTGACTCTGTTGGGTGCCACTCTAGTGTCTTCTTCCCTGTGACGTCACAAATTCACGGCCCATTGTTCAAATTATTTTGACTTGTCATGAGACTGGAGTGTTCATTCTATGACTTTGTCGGATATATCATCACAATCTAGGAACATCTGTACATCATGTCAGCTTCAAATGCACCCATTGTGTCGGTGAAAACTTCATCAAGCGTGATACGTAAAAGAAAGACGTCAGTGATGACATTTGAGAAGAAAGTTGAAATAATTAATGTGAAGAGCAGAGTCCTGAGAAGTGTTGTGCACTGAATATGGCATTAGCAAGAGTACTTTTTTAGCTTCTTAAGGTTAAACCTATCGTTTTTACTGTTTCTTTAGAAGTGAAAGCAGTAAGACAATACGAAATAAAAAGTTAGTAAGTAAAGCAAATGTGGAGTGTTGATAATGCAGTGTGGCAATACTAGTAGTACAAACAGAAGCATGAGGACCAATATTTCAGCAATATTTTAGAAGGCATTCTGGCATTTATGGAAACGAGTAAGTTTGAAACCAAGGACATAATGAACCTGTACAATTTGTATACGAGGTTTTGAAAAAAAAAAAAATGAATGAAACGAATATCACTTTAATCTTTTTGCAATGGTTTCCAAGAAAGCTCACATTGCCCCACCTGCACCCGACTCATTAGATGTTGACCCAAATGCTTCAACATCTGAGGTTACCTTATCACCATTAATCTCCACTTCAGTAAACCCAACACCATCAACATCCACCACCATGGGGACTAATCGTATTGACAACCCCATCCTCCTGTTTAGATAGTACCTATTGCGACGATAGTCAATAGTCACGAATTCGTACATACTGTACTTAGCTTTTGGATGATAGTATACTGACTAGTGAGGAATTCTTTTAAAATATATGCAACTAAAAATCACTTAAATATTCCTAGGCCTAGTATACCCCACTCACGTACTGTACTATATTAGGCCTCAGATATCGTGTATTAGGCCTAGGAAGGTTAGGTTAGTTTAGTTTGTCAAAGCAACACACGTGAAAAAAGTTTTCAGATTTGTCCAACTCGATAGTGCAGATTTCTAATTTCATTAGCCGTCGGTATATATACTATGGTCCTCATTGTTACTATAAGTACTACCAAAACAGGAGGATGGGCTGATTGGCGAGTACAAACAAAATACAGTACAGTACTGTCGAATTTATGCTGTGAACCTGTCAATTTTTTCCCTTAGATTTTTAAGGCCACTTGTACGAACACAACACGTTAACCAGCAGGTCTCGGCCCCGAGGGGTTCGCAAAGCATGTGGCCATCTGTATATCCTTATTTTTATGTACAATTAACTTTACTTATGGTACTAAATTAAATATTTTTATATAAGCACTGTAATTCTTATTAAATGGTAATTGTTGAAGTATTTTAAAACTTTTCCAGTAAGTACTTATTAAGACTTTGGAATTGCTGATCCATATTAGATATCAGACATTAATACAGTATGTAGACCAAAGCTAAAAATCTGTGCTGTAGCACTTTTAATGACATTCCAATGTTAGTACTATGTTAAATTTAATATACAGACTTTTCACCAAGTTCAGAATAGAGCGAGAGAGAGAGATAATGGGAATGAATTAATAATTAATAAGAGAATGAGAAATATGGGCAATTTGAGAGTTGAACCATATCCTTGGCTGTTTGAACTAGTTTCAGTATGATTGCCCTTCTCAATTCAAATGTATCAAGCTTTGAATAATTTTGTTTATTAATATGGAATATAGCTCAATTATTGATTGTAATAATATTGGCTTTTGGTTATTTTTTGCACTTTGGGCATTTTATATAACACTTGATAACTTAAATTTGATTGCAAGCATGCTTCACCTTTTGTTTTGTTTTATATTTTTTTTTCTTTTAAATCTATTTTTCATATCCCACCCTTTTTTTCTTATCCTTGTGTTTGCTTGCTCTGTGATATCTAATTGCCAATCTGAGCTAGTTAAGTGCGTTTTTAAAATGGTATTTGTTAATTAAGGTAATATGTATGTAGAATTTAAATTTAACTTTTGATGTTGAAATTAGTAGCATACAGAGTCTCGGATTTTTTAAAGCTTGTCCAAAATATTTATTTTCAGATTTGTATTAATTAGCTAATTTTGTCAAATTTATATGATGCACCGTTACCCCTGTGACGTGTCAGGTTTTTAAGGTCTTATGTGTACTTATTCATGAAGTTGTAGTCAAATTTGCACATCCATTCCTGCCTTAACTGTAGGTCTCAGTACAGCTCTCATTCTTTTAATCCACATATTTTCATCTTACACTATGGTCTTTGTTAAAATTAAAAATCTTTGGCATAGAAATTATTCCAAGACATTGTTTTTAGAATAGAGTAATTGTATTGGTACAGCATGTAACATGGTGAGGAAATGAAAGACATTAGCGAATACACACTGTTGTTTAGGCAAGGGGAACTTTTCACGGTAAATATGTAATTAAAATGTTCATTATATATATATTTGAATCAAAATTTGGAATTTATATATATATATAGCTCATTTATTATGGATCCCATATCCATCCTATAAGCAGTAGTGGAAAAGGCGCATAATGGGCTGAGGAACTGAACCCCATAATTTATTTAGCTAAGGAATTTTGTCTTTGTAAGCTTGTTTCTTAATTTAATGTACAGTATATATCAACAGTCCTTTACAGATTAATGGGTTTCAGAACTGGACTACAAGAATTTCTATGCTTGGCTATTTACATTTGAAGTCACTAGTTACATATAATTTTGATTTGCTTATGTGCCCCTCACCTATCCAGTGGGCAGCAGTGGTATTCTACAATCACATGCATGCACTACCTACAGAATGCAAACTTGGGATATTTGGCCAATATTCCTGGTAGTATATAATTTTGAATGAAATGCACATTTCTTGAACAGAATAGCATATTATTTTATACAAGATAAACTCTACACTTGTGGTGTCTTCCCTGTAATGTCATGAAGTTTTGAAGCTTCCAATGGTTTGGCATGCACTAGCCACTCACTTGATATATTCTATCATTACTCTGCAAATGTCTTTAACAAAAAATTATGGCATCTTTTTTTTTCTAAATTTGACTCTGAAATCTATCAATATGATAGTTAAAAAAAAAAGATTGGGTATGTAGATTCATGTCACTACAGTATTCTGTTTTTAGTATCATTTCCTGATCTGCCTACCAATTTGGGCATAGTTAACATTTCCAACATCTGGGAGCATGGCTGCAGTTTGTCTATTTTATCATTATTTTTGGAGATACTGTATGGCAACCATATACAACTACATATTCTATTTTTGGTCTTGTGCATCTTGATTTTTTTTATTCATTTGTGTATATAAAGACAATGCTGAAATTTACCAGATTAGTTGGCCCCTCATAATATATCCCTGATGTGGGCTAATTGTGACAGTTTACTATCCAGAACCCTCCCTAATTCTTTCCTTTTCCGAGTTCAATACTGGTAGTTATTTCATAATTTGCAAGTTGAATGTAGCCTAGTTTCACTCACTGTATTTTGTTATTCATAGTCCCATTGTTCCACGCCATTATCTAGTTGGTCTTAAATCATTCTGAAGGGCACGGCAGTCATCTAGTTATTCTATTATTTCCAAGGTATATCATTTGTATATACAGTAAAAACATTACTAGCACTAGTGCATAGCCCTGTGGGTCATCACTAGTAACAAACCACTTGTCTAATTCATTGCCTCTTACCGCTACTCTCATTTTTCTATCTTTTAGTAAACTCTTAATCCATGCTATTGGTCTTTGTCAGCCCTGTCTCTGTATTCCAATTTTTAGAACAGTATCTTGTGTGGGACTTTCTCTAATGCTTTATCCAGATAAATGCAGTCTGCCCAAATGTCTGTCCTGTAAGATCTGTGACCCTGTCATAAAAACTGAGCCAATTTGTTAGGCATAACCTTCCAGTTCAAAAATCAAACTACCTCTTCATTATGACATTTCTTCCTAGATATTCTACCCATGTGGGTTTTCAATTACTGATTCTGGTGATTTCACTACCTTTTCAACGATACTGGTCAATAGTTCAATATGCCTTTTTTTCTTTCTTTTTTTTCCCAAGTGTTAATGTTTGTTAGAATGCCTGGAAAATATTGTGCAGTGGATTGCTAAGCCCATGGCCTGAATAGACAGCACTCGGGATTCGTAGTCCTGAGGTTCCGGGTTCAATTCCCGGTGGAAGCGGAAACAAATGGGCAGAGTTTGTCACCCTGATGTCCCTGTTCACCTACAAAAAGGAGGCCTGGTTGAGGCCGTAGGGACGCTAAGCCCCAAAATCATCTCAAGATAACCTCAAGATGATAAGCCCGTGAGCATATTGTCTTGGTACCGATGGTAAAATTTCATCATGTCCAACTGCCCTAGTTCTACCTAAATTTGAGCAATTTTTTTTTTTTTTTTTTACATTGTCCTGGAAGCCCAGAAGTGTTCCAAGTTATGCTTTAATGTTTGTGTTTTGTACACTCTGAAATCCTCACTTTGTAACTGCTTATTAAGTTTTGTACCTTTCCTTTTGTCTCTGTGAATCTCTCATTTTTAATCTCTGGATTTTATACTTCACATTCAATTTGCTTTTTATAAATTTATAGAACAGACTGGGTTCTGTTTTGCATTTGTCCACTATTCTTTTTAATTTTCTTTCCTCCTCCCTTCTTTCTTACTACCATTAGACCAATTGCATTCTAATTTGTCCTTATGTTCATTTGCTTTGTGAGTGATAGTATTTGTAGCAGTTAGTACTATTGTGGTTTTGCTTTTTGAGTTAAAAATTAAGGTACTACACTGTACTATGACTGCCAAAGTTAAAGTAAATTCATATTTTTATTCAGAAAAACAATAGTTTTTTGTAGAAAAATTGTTAGTTTTATCGACATTTTTATTGTAAATAATTGCAATTTTTCACCTTCAGTATTTACCCAAATCTCGGAGCGGGTAGTGTTGGATAACATTTTATTATATTATAAGTTATATTTTGATAACCTTTTTGCTTGATCCTAACAGAACAACAACAAGGCAAGATTAAAATAATGCTAGTTTTTTTTTATCTTAAAGTACTGTAATTGTTAATTTTCATTTTATATCTTCGTTCATTTTATATACAGGTATGCATTTCATGAACTTTCCTCAGTATACATGAATGTGCTTAAGTAAAAGTCATCATGTTTATGGTAAGCTTGGCAGGGCAGTAATTGGGAATTTGGTAGTATGGAGATTCTCTTAAGTTTACAGCTTCATTATCCACAGCTTTCCACGAGTGTAATCATTCTGCTGTTTCAACCCTCACTCAAAATATTGAGTAGTAGTATTTAAATTTTTAATTGTAGTCCAGTCATTAATTGTTCAATGCAAAAATGAGTGCAATAATACAGAATTCAGTGTTAATAAAATTACTTCTTTATTAATGCTGTATTTTACTTTTTGTCTTATTCCACTTTTATTTTGTATGAATGTCTTGCAGGGTTTATATTGTTTCCTTAAGTTACATTTGAAAAGGTCAGTCATTACTATTGTGGTTTACTGGCATGTCGTAAAAAAAATTGCTAATGGTAGGTATCACGAGCAACATGGTATGCTTAAATATACCAAGCTTGAATTTAACTCCCAGAGTATCCCAATGTGGTATATTCTGCAGAAAGGCCAAAGATGATAGTGCATATTTACAATTTAAAACATTAATCATAAGTTTTGTACAGTTTATAAACCTTTATAACAGTAAGTTACATAATATGCTAAAATTAGAGTTGCTGAAAGCTTGGTGTGTGCCATATATTTAGCTAAATTTTATTAATTTGCACAATGTATCATCAATTATGTTGTGTGTTGTATCATGTAATAATATAAATGTTTGGAGATATTAGTCTTGATTTTAAAAAGCAGGATATTTACTCAACTTTGCTGGTGGTGAAAAAATATCCTTGATGTCTCAAGGGCGAATGTCTGCATTTCCTATTTTAGGTGGCATTTTAATGGTTAATTGATAGATAAAAAAATTTAATTGTTTGAATGGCAAGTCAACTGATAGCTTTGATCAATACCGTTAATCTGTAATATTTCTGATATACTGTATACAAGCAAGACTGACACCATGAAAACAGTACTGTTGGGAGGGTAATTAATCACACATGCATACTGTTAGATAAGAGCATCTTATTGCTTTGGGTCCACATTGGTTGTGTTTGGCTAAGATCCCAGATGTGCAAACTAGGAGCTTTCTTCCCAAACTAGGAACATCTTCCTAAATGATCAACACAAAACAGGTTGCCACCACAACAATGATGTCATAATTCAATGTTAAAAAAGGTAGTTCTTTTCTTTTTACAGCTCATGTGTGTTTACTCTATCCTCCATACATACACATGTCATTTCTTCTACCACCCCCTTTCTCTCTCTCTCCTGTTCTTCCTGTTTTCCATCTCCCTGCTTATGGCTTTTACTGGTAAACAGCCATTGCATTTAACCCTTTGATTGTCATCTTATAAGAGTTTTGCATTATCTTTATAGTATATATGATATTTGATACCCACCTACCTTTGACATCACATGTCCATTACCTACAAACTAAATGCACCAAGGTCCTTATCTTACTCAGTCCTGTTGCATACCTTCTGGGTGCAGATAGATGGACACCCCATTTACACTTCTTTGTTATCTTGGCACTTTGCATCACACTGGCTTGTGACTCAGCTCAAGGGCCCTTTGTTCTTTGTCTACCTAGAGCTTTTATGTGGAAACTCATATTCCATCATTTCAAAACTGCTGCAGTCAATATTGCCTTCGATAATTTGTGCCAACTCGCGGAATTCACTGTTAATGCTTGTACAGTACTTCAGTCTGATGAGTGCTCTATTGAAAGCCCTGTGTGCATTCATTTTTAATCTTTATATTTTAATTCTTTTACAAGAATAGTATGCATGCAGGAGTGAAGGATTATACTGTACCTCCATCTGTCCTAAAATGTCTTTTCCTTTAATATAAATATCCAGTGTCATTCACACTACTACTCTAATTTCAGTTGGGTCGAAATTTGCTGGAGGAGTTGGCTTCGAAAATTTTCCTGATAAAACCTTTGTGCAACCTTTCCCCAAAGACTAGTACAGTACTAAGACTGGAGCTTTATGCAATTTATGTGCTCCAAGACTTGTGCTTATGTTAAATTTCATATGCAAACAATCACCTGTTATTAAAGTCGACTTGTTGTGCTCTCGTGGCCCTGGAGTCTCCTAATTATACTGTAGTGTACTTATGTGATTGGAATCCAACACAGGTTGTACTGTACCTCATCTTTAGCAAACATTAGACAGTCACTTTTTGCTAGGTTCCCAGCCATATTGGTGTTGCTTCCAATAATTTGGCAGACACTGATTCTAAACCCATACGTGTTTGTCTCGTCTCCCATAAAGTGAGTTCTCTACTTAAATTTCTATGGTCATATCCTGATTTGCGACTTCGAGAGAGAGCATGATACTACAAATAACAAATTAAGTACTGTACTATCAAATATAACCTATTGATGTGGTCTTTCTCCTGTTGCCATAGTAGGTGATGGGAAATGCCTCTGGCTAGGTTACATATTAACCACAAAAGATTAACTTGTGTGCACTTAAAAAAAAAACCCTGCACATTAGTGTCAGAACTGAAGTGTTCAGTTAAGGGTCACTTGCCATCTTGTAGGATATCCTGGTTTTTAGTGATTGGAAGTGTTTTGTCCCTTGATGAAAATCTTCACTAATGGCATCCTGAATATCTAGAAAAAGTTTAATATTTAATAACACATGTACACCTATTCTGGCTTGGTGCCTTTTTTTATACAGTATTTACATTGACCCTCTCTATTCACAGTTTTTTCCTCTTCTCCATTCCCTCCCCTCTTTTTCTCCCCTGTTCATATCTCGCTTTCTCCCTCTCCATTCCCCTTGTATATTTTACCTTCTCTAGTCTGTTGCTTTTTTATTATTATTATCCTATCTCCCCTTCCCCAGTTTTTCTCTCTGTATCCTTACACAATCCTATCCCTCCCTCCCTGTTTCACAAATACATTTTCTTAAAGCACATGGTAGATCATATATTTCATACATCATAATTCTGCATGTATTGTAACTTAACTGTGATCTAATACTTAAATGTACTACAACTGCTGACTTTGTGCCAGGAAATCTATCTGAATATAGTTTCAGGATTTAGAGCTAACACCTAGTGAATTCATTGCCTTGTATGAAGATGAGGGCACAATTTTCAACTAGTGTAAATATATTTCATGATAAATTCATATTGTGTTTGTTCTACATCCATTATTTTTTGTGAACTAACAAAAACTGTTATTGGCTGGTAATGCAGCATTTTAAGACTTGTTTAAGTGCACCATATTTCCCAAATTGTAATGCATTTAAAAAAAATGGGGTGCAAATAAAATAATAAATTTCTGTAAGTGTACCACCAACATAATGAAAGCTTTTACGTGATATCTATCACTTTCCCAAACTAGGAACATCTTCCCAAATGATCAACACATCACAAGTTGCCACCACAACCATAATGTCATAATTCAATGTTAAAAAAGGTAGTTCTTATTTTCAAATTAACCCAATATCTTTAATATTAGTTGTTATAAATAAAAATGGCCTGCATAGATTGTCTGAATATTAATGCAAGAGTCAAGTTTTTAATTATTCATTTATTTTAAATTTAGAATGTTTTCTTAACCACAGCATATGTCTATATATAAAAACTTTTAATTATACAGTACCAATAAAACAGAAAAACCTTTCATCTTGAAAGCATTAAGCTAATAATTTGTAATTCCAATGCATGGTATAAATTTTCACTAACCATACAACATAAATAGCAGCCCTCTTGTCTGGCTAAAACTTAAATCTATTCAGTAAGATGTAAAACTATATACTTAAGTGTAAAGATCAGCTGCACCCTGCAAAATACTATAATGACCTCAGCATGGAAAATACTTCTTCAAACCATGTCTGCAAGTGCTGTCAAAATAAGAATGCTGAACAGAGCCAGTGTTGAGCATGAAGCCTTATATTTCTTTATGACCAGCTCAAACCCATGGGGAGAGAATATTGATAAGTGTAATGTAATCATTATCATCCAACTTTGAGTTTTTCTCTGAAATCACTCTAGATGGAGGGGAGTCAATGAATTGTGGGTTCAGCACCAAATTTATTATGTATGCAGGTATTATTATTAAATAATGAGCACTAGTAATTTTTTGTGAATAGAGTAGACTTATATTGAATTCCAGTGGACACTTGGATTAAAGGAATATATATATATATATTGTTAAAAATAATTTACTCTGCAAAAATATTATAAAGGATTGATGCTACTTCATGTGTCGACAAAATTAACATAGCATGCTCAGCAAATGAATATAAAAGGCTCTAATGCGAGCTATCTCTTGTTTCTGTGTAGCATTGAGCAAGGCCTCATTTTTTCTTCACTGCTGGGCTGTCCCCACTGGATTTTTTTTCTTTTCTGGTATGGGTACTGGGGCTGCAAGAACATCCCACTGATTGGAAGGATCGGTGAAAGTGCGGTCGTACATCCTCACAGAATTCCTTAAAGGTTCTGTAAGATTTCTTTTACTAGATTGTTCAGTGCAGAGGAAGGAAAGGAAGGCTGGCATAGCAATCAAGGAAATTGTGCGGACACAGTCCTCCATATCTAACGAAGAATTGCTGGTTTCCACCAAGTAATCTAGGAGAAGTTTGAGGATCTTTTCTATCATGGACTTCAAAACGGTGTCATACTCATTAAAATTGCTGCACCTGTCCTCATTAAAGCCACTAGTGTGTTAATGGCCCTCAGGTAAATATATACATACATACATATAATAAAATCAATTAATAGAATATAATTCAATATAGTAAAATAAAATATAATAGTTTGGTTAGGGACAGAAAGCCTGTGTATATATAATTAACTTTAGGTTTGTATCAAGACCGAACCTTAGGCCCTCCCTAAGATACAACTACACAATAGTTGCCTAACTTTTCGTCAAACTATTATGTGAGTACTGTACTTAAGAACCGCTCTCGGGTTAGTTTAGCTTAATTTAGGTAGGCATTTATTATGCACTCCATGCACGGAATATTTGGCTAAAATTTCTGATAGACATGCACCCGTTGCCAGCGGCGCTAACCTCTGCACTTAACTATTTTACTCGATAGGAAAAACAGTTTCAGAGATGTCTGGATCAATATCCTCCGAGTTGTCCAGTATTTAAAGTTTCGGTGAGATCCGCCCTGTCATGCCTGGGGTTTGTAGTGTTATTAGTCCTGCTCTCTGTTACCTATCGTACGTTACGGCTCGTGATCCTACAGCAGCCAAACTTTAATAAGTCTAGGGATACGACACAACTGCTGTTCTCAATAGCGAATCACCAGTATAACCCCTTAATAAGTACTGAGCACAAAATAGAATCTTCATAGGACTGAAGAATAAAGACACTAATTATAGATATATACTATTATATTAAATAAATCTCAAAAGCAAACAGATGATTATATGGTCACAATATATCACATTAAAAATATCACTGTAACTTCCAGACATTAAATCAATACTAAGAATAATTATATGGCTAGAATAAAAGAATGACTTAACTCCAACAAGTGTTATCTCCCCGGTTTCTGCTCAGCTACTAACAAAATCACGCGAGAATCAAAAGAGATTGCCTCGCCCCGCGAATAAATTGCCAAGTTACAATATTTATTATTTCAACAATGGAGCACTACATTGTGACAAGAGTAATCTTAAACTAACTTAATGAATAATTAGTACATATTGATATAGACAACAAAAGTACGTGTTTCTTTACATAGTAATTAAAATATGCATACAGAATAGCATAATGGCATGCACACCCCAGCAACGGACGATCCCACGACAATTTGCCAGATACAGTTCACTCAATTATTATTTCACTCTGTTACCCACTGATGATCACATATAAATCATTAGTTCCCGTGGGAAAACTGATCACACAAAGAAATAAACAATCATTCCCACGATACGTTGGGCCTAACGCCAACACTGTAACATGAATGTGCATTTGCATAGAACATAAGTATAACAATATACATGCTTGTAATTTACATACAATTATAAATGTACATATTAATATATTCACTTACGTATCTTATAAGGGTACGTAACACTTCCACCTCCAAGAAAAAAAAATGCAATGGATTGAAGATCAATGGCATTTTTTCAGAAGTAAAAATGTTAAGTAAAAAGAAACATTTCATTTATGGTACATCAAAACTTCTTGACAAAGCATCAGCAATAACATTTTGTCTGCCTGGAATATGTTTGATTTCTACATTAAATTCCTGCAAAAACAATGACCATCGCAGAATTCGTTGGTTCTTGACTTTCATCATATTTATAAAGATAAGGGGGTTGTGGTCTGTAAATACTAACACTTTATTTCCTGATAAGTAAATCTCAAACTTCTTGATTGACAATATAAGACCCAACGCCTCCTTTTCTACCACGGAATAATTTCTCTGAGCTGCATTAAATTTTCTGGAATAGTAATACACAGGATGCTCAATCTGGTCTAAACCAACTTGAATAAGCACAGCACCTATCCCAACATCTGACGCATCAATGTGTAATATAAATGGTTTATCAAATTGGGGACTAGCAAGAATAGGTGAGGTGGACAATATGCCCTTTAGGTTCTGAAAAGCATTCTGACAATCTTGTGTCCACTGAAACTTTACTTGCTTGCGTAACAAGTTTGTCAAAGGAGCAGCTACTGTTGAAAAATTTCTACAATAACGCCTATAGTATGCACACATACCAATAAACCGTTGGACTCCTTTCTTATTGGTCAACACTGGGTAGTCCACAATGGCTTGAATCTTATCTTGTAAGGGGATAATCTTACCTTGTCCCACCTCGTGGCCAAGATAAGTTATCGTACCTTTTGCCCAACTACACTTATTCATATTTATGGTTAACTTTGCATTTTCTAACACTGTAAACAAGTTCTTAAGGCCTAAGAGATGATCGGCCCAATTCTTACTGTACAAAACAATGTCATCAAGGTAGGCCCTACAATCTGGCACATCCTTGAGTAAGAAATTCATAAGTCTTTGAAAAGTAGCAGGTGCATTTCTCAAACCGAATGGCATGACATTAAATTCATACGCACCATCAGGTGTAACAAAAGCAGTAACCTCTCTAGCATACTCTGTTAATGGAATTTGATAATACCCTTTTGACAAATCAAGCTTACTTACATATTCGGCATGACCTATGGACTCTATACATTCTTCCAACAAGGGTAAAGGAAAAACGTCCACTGTAGTGTTCTTGTTCAGTTTCCTGTAATCCACGCACAATCTCCAGGTTCCATCTGGTTTTGGCACTAACAAACACGGAGAGCTCCAAGTACTTTGACTTGGCCGAATGAAATCATGCTGGAGCAGATATTCCACTTCTGCTTGCATAATTTTCCTCTTTTCGGGATTCACTCGGTACGGATGTTGTCGAATGGGGGTGCTGTCCAGGAGCTGAATGTCGTGTGTGATGAGGTGGGTCTGGGTAGGAACCTCCCCAAACAGAGATGAATGGTTGTCCAGCAGAACCTGGAACTCATCACGTTGTTTCTCCTGTAAATGACATAGCATCTCCCTGCCATTGGAACTGGAACTGAGAAGTTGGATATTAACATCATGTCCCTCACTACAATTATCCTCAGGTGGTAACTCTTCCCGACTAAAACAAGCTACTACACCAGGTCCAACATAAGCTTTTAATCTGTTAATGTGCACAGTCATTTGGGGTTCTGAAAGATTAGGGTTAATTAGTTTATAAGTTAGGTCTCCCACCTTGTCTACCACTTGGTAGGGTCCTGCGAACTTATGGGACATGGAAGTCCCCATACGAGGTTTCAACACCAACACCAAATCTCCGACATCAAACGACCTTAGCTTAGCCTTGAACTTCTTGTCATATCGTACTTTCATGGCTTGTTGAGTCCTTCCCAGATGTTCTTTCGCCAACTCACGAGCCCGACACAACTTAGCCTTGACCTCGCTCAAGTACAATCCGCTCTGATGAACAGAGACATCTCCCAACAACTTTTCTTGTAGCATTTTAAGAGGACCTCTTACTTGGTGACCAAACACTAGTTCAAAGGGTGAACAGCCCAATGACTCTTGTAGCCCTTCTCTAGCAGCAAACAACACAAAGGGGAGATTCTCATCCCAATTACGTGGATGAGTTTCTCCGGTTGTC